GCTGGCCACCTACCAGCTGCTGCCGGCGCTGGAGAGCGGCGCCAGCGGCGGCGCCAAGCAGCCCGGCGCACCAACCTGGCGAGTGGTGCTGACCTACTGGCGCAAGCGTGCGCTGCGCATCGTGCCTGCCTATGCGGTGGCCAACCTGCTGGCGCTGGCACTGTTCCGGCCCACAAGCGGGGAGGTGCCGTCGCTGGCGGGGCAGGCCCGCAGCCTCAAGTACTCCGGCTGCCCCGCCTCCCTCTGGGCCAACGCCCTCTTCCTCACCAACTCGCTGAGCACGCCAGAGACCTGCGGTGCGCCGGTGCCAGGGGGGCAGCCGCCGACAGCCACCAGCGGGCAGAGCAGCAGCCTGAAGGATCTGGGCCAGGCGCTGAGGGCCGCCACCCGCTGCCGCCGGCGCCGCCGCTGCCGCAGGGAGCCACCTGTGGACCATATCTGTGCTGGTCCACTTCTACCTGGCCTGGCCCCTGCTGCTGTGCGCGCTGCGGCCACGCGTCCCCGGCTTCCGCGCCCGTGTGGCTGCCGCGCTGGGCGCGGCGGCTGCCGCGGGCACCGCCTGGCGCTTCTGGGCTGCCTGGCGCACTGACTTCCACATGCCGGCGGGAGACCGCAACCTGGCTGGGGAGGAGGCCAACCTGAACCGCATCCTGGATGCCCTCTACCTGCCCACGCTCAGCCGCGTGCAGGAGATGGCGGTGGGCGCCTCGCTGGGCCTGCTGCTGCGCTCCCGCCCCGCGCTGAGCTGGGTCACGCGCAGGTGGGCTGGCGGGCGGGGGCGGGCAAGTAGGCAGCAGGCTCGTGCTGGCCGCGCCGCTGTCCTGCAGCGATCAGCCTGTTGGCTCCCTGTGGCGTGTGGCCAAGTTCAGGCTGAGCCCTCCCTCCGATGCCCATGCTGACACGGCCAGGCCTGCTCTGTCCCGCTTGGCCGGGATGCTCGCCTGCCTGCAGGCCAGCCCTGGTGTCGGGCACCGCGTTTGCCCTGCAGGCAACCTACCTGCTGGCAGTGAGCGGCGGCAGCCTGTACCCGCCGCCCGGCACGCCGCACATGCCTGCCACCACCGCTCGCCTCATAGCGGCGCTCTGGTTCTACGGCTCCCCCTTCTACGCCTGCCTCATCTCCGCCACCCTGCTGGCACTGGTGCTGTGCTCCGACCCGCTGCACGCGGCCGCGGCGTGGCTGCTGGGCACCCCGCCCTTCAAGGCGGCCGCCATGCTGTCCTACTCGGTCTACCTGCTGCATGAGATGGTCAAGGTGGCCCTGGTGGTGGCGGCCCCCGCCCTGCTGGCCGCCTGGATCCAGCAGGCGCCGCTGGCAGCGCTTACGGGCCTCACAGGCGCAACGCTGGTGGCTAGCTACGCCGTGGGCTGGCTGTCGTGGCGGCTCATTGAGCAGCGCTTCTGACGGCAATTGTGAGAAGTGTGTTTCAAATCCGCCCCACTGCATGCAAATCTCTCCACCTCTTCATTTCTTCTGTTTGCAACCGTATTGTGCTAACCGGTGCATTTGAATGAGCTATGCACACAGCCAGACTGAACTTGTGCAGACAGGGGCAGCAGCGGCGCTTGGTGGGCCGTCATGTCGCCCGCTGTGCCTGCTGCGGTGCGCTGGGCCTTGGGGTTCCCACCTGTAACCTCCGCCTGCGTCTGCGTCCTACCGGGTTGCCCATCACATCAGCGTTTCTTGCAGCAGTTTCCAAGGATAAGGACAGAGGTTGGGGTGCTCAGTCGGGTGAGCTCAGTAGGGTGAGCGCCTTTGCACGCCCCACCTTCCGGATAGTGGCCCGCAGCGATTCGCCTGGCATTTCACAAATCTCGGATTGCAAAAGCCGACGCACAGTGCGCGGATCGAGTGTTTCCGAGGAGCCTCTGCTGCAAGACACAAGTGGCTGGTGGTCTCCCGGCCCACTCACCCTGCTGTGCTGCTGCCCCACCTACTGCTGCTGCAGCCAGCTTCGCCCACCCACCCAGGCCAGCCAGGCAGAGGCAGGGATGCCGTGGGCAGGATGGAGGGGTGTCCTGGACACCCTGGTTTTCCCGGAGCGGGCGATGGGGGAGGAGAGCATCGCCCTGTACGCCGTGCCCTACATGCAAGTCATCTTCCTGCTGGAGCTGCTGGCCTCCTCCGCCCTCAGGAAGCAGGTGTACAACCTGCGGCAGAGCATCAACAACCTGGCGGCGCCCGTGATTGTCTTCTTCACCATGCGTGAGCGCTGGCCGGGGCACAGCTGCAGGCGATGCCAGCAGCGCACGCCAGCCAGGATGCCCACCCCGGATGGCCGCGGCATTCATGTCTGCCTGCCTGCCTGCCTGCCTGCCTGCCACTGCGCCAGCGCCATTCCAGCTCGCTGGCTGTGGCGCCTGCACCTTGCATGGGGGGGAGGAGGCGCCCACGGCTGGCGCCGGCCCCTGGCCCCGCCGCCCTCACAGGCGCCTTCATGAAGGCGGCGATGGTTCTGCCCTACTGCTGGATCCACCAGCACTACCGCCTCGTGGACTGGACGCCTGAGCGCGCCTGGTGGATGGCAGTGCTGGCCTCCGTGTTCTGCGACTTCTGCACCTACTGGTGAGGAGCGGGGGGGGCCAGGCCGCGCGCAGCAGCAGCCTGTGCCAGCCACAGGGAGGAGGGAGGGGGAGAGAGGTACAGCCGGGCAGCAATGTGCGTCCACCCCAATGCCTGCGGCCGTGTCGAGAAGAGGGAGAAGGCCAGCAGTGCCACACGCAGCAAGCGCAATGTGTTGCTGACCCCTCCCGCTTCCCGCATTGCTGCCCCCGCAGGACGCACCGCATCATGCACACCAACAACCTGGGCTGGTCGATGCATGTCATGCACCACAGCAGCATGGACTACAACTTCACTGTGGGCCTGCGGGGCGGCATCTTCGACATCACGTTTGTGAGCTGAGGGGGCGGCGGCAAGGGCGAGAGGGCAGCATGCGCGTGCCGCATGTGTGCTTCGGCCGCTGTGGCCGCAGCCAGCCATGCCCAGCCGGCGGCACGGCAAGTTGCCTGCTGGTGCAGCGGGGTTGCGGCATGCGCATATAGTTTGCCCGGGTCCCCGACCGCTGGGATGCCTCCCCCACCCTGCTGCAGGGCGGCTGGCTGCTGTACATGCCCCTGGCGCTGGTGTGCCCCGTTAGGGTGTACCTCATGCAGAGGACCTTCAACTTTGCCTACTCGGTGCGGGGTGCTCCCTGCCAGCAGCCCAGCTGGAAGTCGGCTGGGCACTCCTGCTGCAAGCCATGCTGCCTGCTGCCGCCTGGCAGCATGGCTGAGCCCTGCTGCCAGTGTGCCTGCTCCACCCCCTGCGTGCTGCGCTGCAGATTTTCGTGCACACCGAGCTAGTGCCCAAGCTGTGGTGGCCCATTGAGCTCATCATGAACACCCCCTCCCACCACCGCGTGCACCACGCACGGAACTACGGCATGAGGTGCGGCTGCTACCCGGCTGCTGTTGCCCCGCCCGCCATGCTGGACTGGCTGGCTCAGGCCGCAAGGGCTAGTTAACTGCACCTCTTGCCCGTCGCGGTGCCACCGTCTCCTCGCTGCCCTGCCCCACAGCCCCCTCCTGGCCTGCACCCGGCACCGTCTGCCCTGCAGGAACTATGGCGACCTTCTGATCATCTGGGACCGCATATTTGGCACCTTCCAGGAGGAGCGGGACGACAGGAAGCCAGTGTTTGGGCTCAACTCGCAGGTGGGGTGGGGTGGGGCCACAGGCGTGTGTGCACATGCGTGTGTAGGTGCGCACATGCGCGGTCTTCCTCCGGGGCATGTGGCTCTGCCAACCCAAGGCCTCGCCTGGATGCCGGCTGCACATGGCACCCGCATGCACACATGGAAAGGTACTGAGGCATGTGTCGTGAGCGCCGCCCCATGCCGTGTGCAGCCAGTCCCCCAGGGCACCTACAACCCGCTGTGGCACCTCGTGCACCAGATGTGGGCCACGCTGCGCCTGGCGGCATCCGGCAAGGTGGGCGGGGGTGGGGATGGCGGCGCGGTGGCGCGGCCAGGTGGCAATGCCTGCCGGCCTCCTCGGCAAGCCAGGCATGCTTGAACTGGCTGCGCGCATCGCGCTTGTGCTGCGCCCGCGCCCTGCCCTGCAGGTCCCTGTGTCCAAGGCGTTGTTCACCCGCGTGACGGGCCCCGAGATGGTGCCCTACCAGCTGGGTGCCGAGGCCGCCGGCGCAGAGGCGGCTGGCAAGGTGAAGAAGGGGGCGGCGGCGCGGGTGGAGGTGCAGGCAAACGCCACCGCCGCCCAGGATGGCAAGAGCGGCGTCGACGCGCCGTACCGGTGGGAGCGCCGCGCGCTCACCATCCTCGACCTGTACGCGGGTGCGCCTCTGGCCCCAAGCACATCAGCCAGCCTGGCTTGCGCCAGTCCCCAGCCCTGTGGCCGCTCCTTGGCAAGCGCCTTGCATGCGGAGAAACACCGCCATTCTCCACATCAGCCCCCATTACGCTGCGCCCTCCCTGCACACATGCAGCTGCCCACCTCCTCCTGTTCTGCTTCCCCACCACCGGCTTCCTGAAGACCAACGAGACCCTGAGGTGTGCCTGCCACCACAGCACCGGCCGGGCGTAGCAATGAAGCGCTGTGGCAGCTGTGGCACTGGGGCGTGGCATGCCGCCGAAGCTCACCCCCGCTACCGTTGACCATGAATGCCCTACCCTGCTGCAGCTCTCCCCAACTGCTTGGGGCCGCCTTCTTTGCTGCCTGGACTGCTGTGACCGCGGCCTGGATTTGCAGCGCCGAGCGCATCGCCATTCTGCATGAGATGCTGAGGCAAGCAACAGCTCTGCCTGGCTGAGGCGCAGACGGCGGCACCTGCTAGCAAGGCGAGGAATGCAATGCAGAATCTGCAGTACTAATGGCTGCGCTCGGCCTTGCCTGCCCCTCTCCATGCATGCAGGGTGGCGGTGCAGGGTGTGGTGGCAGTTCACCTGCTTCGCTCTGGAGACCTGGGCCCCGACTTCACACAGAAGGCGCAGTTTGCTGTGGGCCTGTCCATTTTCAGCCTTGGCTTCCTGCTGGCACACCTGCCAACCGCCAGGACTCGGCCCAACTATGAGGCCAGGAAGAGGGCTTGAGGTGGTGGCTGGCCGCCCACGCGCTGCTGCAAGCCTGACAGATGGCCGGCGCTGCTGCGCCTGGAAGAGGGCCTCTGGCTGCTCAAGCGAGCAGAAAAGACAACGCATGGACTGCAATGCATGATATTTTATTTGCCCCTTAGCCGATATGAGAATACTGCAGCTGTTGCCTGCACCGTACGTTACTCTTCTTGCCTCAAACCTGCCGCATAAGCGCAAGCTCAGCAGCCTTCCATGACAGCGGGAGGGTGGCTCAGGATTGAGCTGTCACAATACGAATAGAATGTAAAGAAGACAGGAGATGGGAGGGATGGGGCTTTCTCTGTGCCGCACTCTCATTCGCTGTCGTCCTTCATCTCCTTGTGGTGGTGCTTGTGCTTCCGCCGCTTGTGCCTGCTGTCGTCGCTGCCAGATGATTTGCTGTCGCTGCTGCTGCTGCTGCTAGAGCTGCTGTCGCTGCTGCCGCTGTCTGCAAGGAAACGCCATGGAGCACCGCTTTCAGTCCCGCGAGTTGGGGAATGGCGTACGGAGGGCCGGGTGGGGCAGCAGAGTGGGGCAGCAGGTGGTGCCGGACCAGACAAGCAGCCGCACCCTCCCGCAAAATTGCCCTCACCGCTGTGCTTCCGCTTCTTCTTGTGCTTCTTGTGCTTGTCCACCTTGTGCTTGTGCCGCCGCTCCTTCTCCTTCTTCTCCTTCTTCTTCTTCCGCCGCTTCTTGTCCTTCTTCTGCTTCTTCTTCTTGCCATCATCATCCTGCCGCATGCGCAGGGTGCAGGCCATGCGAGCAGTGCAGCCGAAACAAGCAACAATACGGGCAGCCTGTGAGTGCGGTGTTCGACAAGAGTCTTGCCAGGTCCAGCTGGGGGGGGACCAAGGCATCAGATGTTGGCAGGTAGGCAGGCTTGTGAAACAGCAGCCCAAAACAAGGCAGCGCCTCACCTTTGGTGCTGCTGTTGCCGCAGACTCCAATCGCTGCTCCCACTCGAGGGTGTCCGCCTTGCGGTTCACGCTGCGCCTCATAGCCTCTGCAACGCCCTGAGCAAACTCCGCCCGGGTCTCATCTGCCACCTGCGGCCGGCGGCAGGGGGACGGGGGCGGCGGCCAAAGTCAATGTATCGTGCCGCTGCGCACGGCTACAGCGCCTCATCTCTTCCTAAAAGCTCTTGGCCCAGTTGGGAAGCACAGCCCCAACGGAAGACGGGCAACACCTGCGGCAGGTCTGGTTTATAACCAGGAAGGCGATGCGCCATGCTGCTAGCTCCACAGGAGCCTGTGGCCTGCAGGCGCTATATGTCGCAGACGCAGCCCGCTGATGTGCGTGTTCGTCAGGCGGCGATGGCTATGGGGATAGGTTGCGCTTGTTACTTGTGGCTGAAAGGATTGGGTGACGTGCAGAAGAAGTGGAGCAACGAACAGGCTCGGTACCTGATCCTGCCGCATGCAGATGTCCGTGCGGCCGCCATGCGGGCGGCGACGGCGGCGCGCCCCGGCCCGGAGGCGCCGTACTAGCAGGAGAATGTCACAGGTGCTACACACAAGCAACACGACAGCACGTCGGCTTTATGTGGCTCAGCGGTACCACTCGCCCGCCGCCGCCGCCTCACAGCTCGCCGTGCTGCTCCGGCGCCCGCGCGCGCACATGCACTAGCTGGTGCGCCCATCCCTCCAGCTGGCGCTGCAGGTCGCGGTCCAGGTACACAGCCAGCACGCACATCGGCAGCAGCAGCGCCGCCACGCGCCGCAGCTTGCGCCTCCAGGCAGGGGCGCCGCCTTCGCTCGCCGCCTGGCCTGCCAGCTCCGCTGGGCTCCTGCGGCGGGTGATGCCGGTGGGGCATATGGATGCATGGTAGCATGAAGCATGCACACCCCCAGCCTGGTGTGAATATGCCTGGGTCCTGTCCTCCAGCCTCCCCAATGGGACGCCCACACACCACGCACGGCAGCCCCGGTGCCACACCCCCACCTGAGCACCACGTTTGCCACGCCGCCCAGCAGGATGGCCAGCAGGGTGGATGTGAAGCAGATGACGTTGAAGGGCATGGAGAGGTCGGGGAGGGGCAGCGGCGCCAGGCCGCCGCCGCCAGAGCCGCTGTACTGCTGGCGAGGCGCGCAGCCTGCCTGCAGGCGCCGCAGCAGCGGCGGCGCCGCCGGGCCGCTGCTGCCGTCGCCGCTGCTGCTGCTGGGGCTGCTGGGGCTGGTGCAGGCGTGGTCGGGTGCCAGCGTGGCTAGGGCGGGAGGGATGTCCACCCCGCGGGATGCGTCTGGGGCGTGATCAAACACGCTCACAAATGCGGCTCGGTAGCCCACCTGCACCCGCACCTCGTGCCACCTGCCCGCCTGCAAGGCGTCGCTGCCAGCGGGGGCAGCAGCGGTGGAGGGCAGGCGGAGGAGCAGCTCGAGCGTGGCGGTGCGGTCTGGCCGCACATCCAGCGACTGCCACACAAGCTGGGGGCTGCGTGGGTGGAGGGGCTGGCCGTCCAGCAACACCTGCAGGCTGGTGGCATCCACCCTCAGCTGCCAGGGCAGCAGCTGCATGACATGCAGCAGCAGCTGCGGCCCCGCCGCCTCCGCCGCCGCTCTTGCCGCAGCCGCAGCCGGCACCCGAATGCCCACAACCAGCGTGCCCGACAGGGGGCCCCGCTGGATGGTGTGCTGCACCACCTGCAGAGGCAGCAGGTGCAGGGCGCCGGCCTGCGGCGGGCCGCCTTCCGCGCCGCCCCCTTGGCCGGCCTGCAGCAGGCTGGCTGGCGGGTGGAGGTGCTGCTGCTGCTGCTGTCCACTAATCTGTGCCTGCTGCTGCTCTGGCTGCTGTGCCTGCTGCACCTGCTGCGCGATGTCACATGCCAGCAGGGGCCCAGCAGGCGTGTCGTGCTGCCTGCACGCGCCGCGGCTGGCAGCCACCGCCTTGGCCATGTAGTGGGCGGCGGCGGCGCTGCGCCCTCCCGGCAGGTACAGAGTGCTGCTGTCAGCTGCCGGGCAGGCAGCAGGCGGGCTGCTGCCAAACAGTGCCTCCAGCAGGCCCCGCCCCTGCTGCTCCTGCTGCTGCTCCTGCTGGTCTGCCGCCGGCAGCACTGCGGTGAGCACCTGCCGAAGCTCCAGCCACTCCTGCTGGCCTCCCTGGCTTCTGGCGCTGGCGCTGCTGGCGCTGGCGCTGGCGTTGGCGAGCGGGGCGCCCTGCGGCACCCAAAGCTGCAGGCCCAGGGAGTGGTAAGGCGCCGCCGCCAGCTGCACCGGCTGAAGCAGCGCCCCGAGGCCGGCGTGGTGGCGGCAGGGCAGCAGGCGCCGCCAGGCGGCCAGGTTCTCGGAGCACAAGCCCTCCTGCGGCAGCCAGGCATAGATCTGCTGCGCGCGCTGCCCCTGCCGCCGCTGCTTGCCGCTGCTGGCAGCGCCTCCTCCCACCGCCGCCGGCTGCTGCTGCGCAAACCAGCCGACCGCCGGGGCCGCCATCACCGCCAGCCGTGGCGCCGTGGCGATGCCGGCGCACAGCATGCCCCCTAGCGCTTGGGTGAGCGCTGAGTAGGCTGCCTGCGTGTCCCTGGTGCTCCCATCGAAAGACACCTTGAGCTCTAAGCCGGCCGGCCTGGACGCCGCTGCGGAACCGCCAGCTCCTGCCGCCACCTGCCGCTGCTGCTCCCAGGTCTGCGGGCGCAGTGGGAGGCACACCACCAACAGGGAGGTGAGATCTTGGGGGCGAGCAGGCAGGCCACTTGGGCTGGCCAGGTGTGTGCCGCCGGTGGCGCCACGATGGCAGCGCTGCGCTATCGCAGGTGCCACATGCTGTGACACACTCCCCTGGCTGCAACCAGGAAGGCGGCGCCACCCACCCAGCGCCCTTGCGTGAGAGACAGCTCCAGCTGGCGCACGCCGTGCCGCCGCGCCAGCGCCAGCAGCGCCGCCGGGAAGCTCCCCGCGTGCTCGGCGTGCAGCGGGGCCGCAGCGCTGAACTCAAAGTGCGCCTGCATGTCGCAGAGTGGTCGTCAGCACCTAGCCTGCTGGGTAAGGCTGGGCCAGCGCCCAAGCCCTCTGCAACGCTGCACCCAGCAATGCAGGCGGCAGCGGCAGCGGCAGGGTCGGCATCGGCCGGGGACGCACCAGCACAGAGCCATCGCTCAGCTGCTGCAGCGCAAGCTCCTCCGTGTAGGCTGCTGCGCTGCCAACGCCCCAACGGAGCAGTAGCACGATCACTGGCCCGGCCCAGCTGAGCATTCCTGCGGCCTTGGGACAGTAAGCGGCCTCCCAGCAATCACATCAATACATTCAACGAGTGATGGGGACGGCATCCATGGAGAGTGAGTTTCCAGCATCCCGCCGCCCGTCCCGCCTCCGCTCCCCTTCCCACCCAAAAAGCGCATTCTGCAAGTTCCCCTGGATGCCTTCTGATTCTCATATCCCCCTGTTGCTCATGCTTGCCGGTGTGGTATTACGAGAAGGACCTCGCTGTCAGGGAGTCAAGGCACAGGACGTACTCAGGGAGACTTGTAGTGGTGGAAAAAGGGTGAAAAGGCAAGACAGCATGCAACACGGATGCTGGGTGGGCCTGCACACCAAGGAGCAGCAGCCCTAGACTGCTCCGCACTCTCTAACATGGGGGGTGTGCGGTGATTGCGGGGGACGTTCTCCCGGGAAAAGAAGTGTGGGGGAGGTGCTGTGCAGCAGTGAGAAGGGTGGGGTACGGTGCGAGGGGTCTGCCGTCCATGTGGCACAGCCGTAAGGGGAGGCGCAGCAAGGGCGGCGCAACGAATATGGCGGGGGTCCGCCGCCGCAGGGAGAGGGCCTGCGTCGAGGCCCCCAGAAAGGGTGGTCTGTGGCACGCTCGGGGGCATGGCGTGCAGGGGCAGGGCAGGTTGGGGTAGAGTGATGGGACCCACGGGTCAATGCCGGCGCTTGGGGGGATCAGCCAGAGCAAAAGGGAGAGGGGAGAGAGAGAGGACGAAAGGGGGTTGTGGTAGCAACTTCGAGGAATACAAAACAAGAAAAGAGACGGCAGGGCGGGCTTTGCGTGGCGGCGGTGCGCTGCTGCCAGGGCCCTGAAAGAATATGGTCTAAGTAAAAACGGTGGGAGGCGTGCATATGTGGCGTGTGCGTGCGGCGCGCGCGGGGTAGGGGGAGGGCCGGCGCGGCCCCGGGTCGGGTAAAATGGCTGGCGGAGGGGCCTGTTTGGCCGGGCCTGGCCGCGCCGGGGCCCCTGTGTGCTTGAGCGCGCGCGCGGGGTGGTGTGGTGGGGCGCCGCGTGCCCGCTCAGGCCTGCGCCGGCACGACGTCGCCGTCGGATCCGCGGCGCGGCTGCAGCGCGTGCGGCTGCTGGTGGCTGGCCTCCGTGCTCTGCACCAGGGCGCAGGCGATGAGGGGTCGGTCCCACTGCTTGGCGCCCGTGGCGCCGTTGACGTAGTAGGGCTGCTTGCTGCGCGGGTCGTGGTGCTCGGTCCAGCCCTCGGGCAGGTCCACCCACACGCAGGAGCGGAAGCCCTCGGCCAGGGCCTGCAGGAGGAGGGGGGGGCAGGGGAGGAGGGGGGGCAGGGGTGAGGCGGGGGAGGGCCAGCTGGGGGGCGGGCTGCCAGGCAGTCGGGCCCTGAGCCGCAGCGGGCAGCGTGCGCGTGGCTGGCAGGTGACTGGCCCGCAGGCCAGGCAGGTGGTGGCGCAAGCGAAGCAGCCGGGGTGGGGCCGATCCCGCAGCCAGCAGGCAGCAGCATAGTGCAGGGCCCGCCTCCGCGCCTCCGCCTGCGCCGCCGCACCTTGCGGTCGAGGTCGCGGCCGATGAAGACAATCTGGTTGATGGGCTCCTCCCCCGCCTGCCACCCCGAGGCGGCGGGGCCGAAGCAAATTGTCTCGTGCACGCCCTGGAACACAAACTTGACCGCCTCCTGGCCCTGCGGGAGGAGAGCGTGGGGGGAAGGAGGGAGGGGGGGTCAGGGAGGGAGGAGCAGGAGCAGGCAGGCGCGCCGCTCAGCCCAGCCAGCCCCGCTAGCCATCCCCGCCAACCACACCGGCAGCGCTGCCAGCGCCCCGCCGGCCGCCCTGCCCGCGCCCTCCCACCCCTGGCTTGGTCCCCACCTTGATGCACAGCACGCCCTTGGAGCGGAAGATGTCGCGCGCCTTCTCGCCCAGCAGGTCCCGCATGAACATGTTGAAGCGGTACTTGTCCAGGGCGCCGCGCGCAGTGATGCCCACGCTGCCCACCCCGCTCAGGTCGTGCAGCTTCTTGCGGCGCCGCTTGGGCTGCCGCTGGGAGCCGGCCGCAGCGGCCTGCAGAGGGGAGGGGAGGGAGGGGAGGTGGCAGGGTCAGGCGAGAGCAGGGGCGGGGGTGAGACCAGCCCATGGGTGCGCCGTGGGCCGCCGCAGCCGCGCGCCGCACCGGCTGCTGCCGCTGCCGCTGCCGCCGCGTGGCGCACCTCCGGCTGGCGCTGGCTCCGCGCCGCCGACTTGTGGCTCCTCGCCGCCTCATCCGCCTCGGCGTCGCGGCATGCCTCGGTGCAGGGCCCCGGGTGGCTGCCGCACTCGCCCAGCTGGCCGGCGGCCGCGGTGGCGCCCACCTGCGGCTGCGCGCGCTCCTCCTCGCGCCCGCGCTTGGCGGCGCGCAGGCTGGCCGCCACGCGCGCGGCCTCCACCGCCTGCGCCGCCGCCGCGGGGGGCGCGCCCTGCTGCTGCGCGCCTCCCTCCCCCTCCTCCGCCTCCTCCTCCGAGTCTGAGTCCATGAAGTAGGGGTCCACCTGCGGGTGGGTGTGGGGCGTGGGGTAGGGAGAGGGAGGGAGGGCAGCGGTGGGCAGGAGAGAAGAAGCAGGCCAGCAGCCGCATGCATGCGGGGCCTCTGCGCAGGGGCCCTCCTTCACCCCGCCTCGCGCTGCCACTCGCTGCCCCAAGCCAGCCCGCAAGCCAGCCCGCCATTCCGCCACCAGCCCACCTCCCACACACCCCGCCCACCTGCAGCGCCCTCTCAATGGAGAAGGAGTTGATGCCCATGAGTCGGTCCCAGGCCAGCTGCTCGCCCACGCCGGGCTGCGCGTCCCCCGCCAGCGCCACCTCCACCAGGTCTGCGGTGACGTTGATGGAGCGCACCATGTCGCGCGCCTTCTGCACCTCCTCCTCAGACACCAGGTCGATCTTGTTGAGCAGGATGATGTCGGCAAAGGCAATCTGGTTGACCGCTTCGTTCACGTCGCCGCCCTCCGCATCCTCCAGGTGCTGCGGGGGGAGGCGGGGGAGGGCAGGGCAAGGGGCCGGGGGTGGCAGCATCAGCAGGCATGCACACCCTCGGCGGCAGCGGCCACGCCGCGCCAAGGCTGCCGGCGCTGCTAATCCTCGCCCCCGTCCCCCAGCCACCACCACACCGCCACCACCGCAGCGGCGCCGCACCTCCCGCAGGTGCTCGGCGTCCACCAGGCAGAGTATGGAGTCGAGGCGGTAGTTGGCCGAGATCCAGGAGTTGGCGAAGAAGGTGAAGGCGACGGGGGCGGGGTCGGCCAGGCCCGTCGTCTCCAGCAGGATGGCGTCGTAGGCGATGTCGCGGGAGGCGGCGCGAGACTGCAGCTCGCGCAGCGCCCCCACAATGTCGTTGCGCAGCGAGCAGCACACGCAGCCGCGGTCCATGGACACAAGGTCCTCCTTGGACAGAAGGTTGTCCACCACTGCGGGGGAACAAGGGAAGGGAGGGAGGGGGAGGGGGCAGCGGGAGGCGGGGTGGGCGGGGTGGGCGACCACGCACGACACGGCACGGCGCGAGAGCGGGAGCAGGGCCAGCGGCTGGGGTGGCGGCAGGGCCGCGCAGCGCGCCCGAGCGGTCCCCGCCCCCGGTGCACGCGCCAAAGCCCGACCCCTCCCGCTGCGCTGCGGCAGCGCCACACGCACCGAGGCTGTTGTCTATGTTGATCTCGCCGACCTGCGGCCAGGGAGGAGGGCGGGGGTGGGTGTGTGAGGCGCCGGCCAGCCGTATGCCAGCCCCCGGCACGCCGCGCCGCGGCAGCAGTCACATACGGCCGCCCCCGCCTGCCCCTCACCTCATTCTCAATCACCGCCACCCGCTTGTTGCCCTTTTGCCGCAGGATGTGGTTGAGAAGGGTGGTCTTGCCGGCTCCCAGGAAGCCGGTGACCTGCAGCAAGGCCGGGGCGCAGCCACCGGTTGGTTTGGGCGCCGTGCGTGGTGCGGGCAGGCGCGCGCGGCGGCCGGGCGCAAGGGCTGGCCCTCCCTGCTGCCGCTCCAGCCAGCAGCTCACCAGCGTCACCGGGATCTTCTGAGCCTCTGGCTTCGGCATTGCGAGCCTGCCGAACTAGAGGCCCGCAACTGCAAGCGCGCAAGCCGGGCGTGGGCTCAGCAAAACGTGCCCCCGGGGCGGCGGCGGCGGCGGGACCCGTCGGTGGGTGACCCGCTGCACAGCGCTTCTCCAGCCCAGCGCCGTCCGCCTCGCACCTGGGGCGTGTCTTGGGGCGGTCTGGCTTTGCAAGCAGGCTGGGCGTGCGCCCAGGGACCCAGTGCCGGCTGCACTCCTGCAGGTGGGAGTAAAGTGGGGTGTCAACCAGGGCACGCCGCATACCGGCCCCGCCCCCTCATAATTGCTGCATGGTCATCTGCCATGCTGCCTGAGCGCTCCCCGGCCGCCCAGCACCGCCCGGGCCCCGCTCCCGCGCCGCTATCGGTAGACTACCACTGCCCCGAGTTCGCCGCAGGGCCCCAGAAGCGTTCCAGTGAACTCCACGGGTGCTAGAATGTCCCAGGAGACGGACCAGACGCACCTGCGGGCTTTGGCTTCTGTAATGCTTGTGGCTTCCTGCGCCTGTCGGCTGAGGGCGGGAGAAGGGTGCAGTAGATGGTGATGACGAAAGGATGGAATTTGCTTTGCGAGAGGAGCGAGCCTGCTCACCACCGTGCATCTCCGAAGGCAACCTACCACATGGCCTGGCCGGCCGACGTGGCACGGCCTTACAAACACAGGATGGTTTCGCAACCCTCCAACGCCTCATACACGCGCTGGGCAGCCATAACCTCCATCTGTGCAGCAGGCACCCGGCTGCCGCGCGCAGTCAAAACGCCCCCTCGGGCGCAGGAGACACCTCCGCCACCCGCCGGGGCGCCGATAGCCAATCGCCGCCCCAGCCCGCTCCCAGCCCCTGTTGCACCAGTGAAACCCGCCCACACTGCCTCTCATTCAGCCAGCTGCATCCAGACAGAGTAACAGCAGCAGCAGGCCTGCAAGGGGATGCCGGCGGGGAGCGGGAGGGGGGCTGCCAGTGATTCTGTGCCCACGCCTCCGGCTCATGCCGGCAGCAGATTCTGCAGCCGTGCCCTGCTGCCTTTAACAGCCCCGTGGCAACAGAGCATATGGAATGCATGCTGTGGAGTGTGCATGTGGAACAGTGGGGGCGGCTTTCTGGAAGCAAGAGAGAATAGCAAGGGGGGCGTCAAGCACAGCCACAAGCCGTGCTGGGCCTCTGCCGAGCACTGCCGTCTCGCTGGAGAGCTGTGTGGAGTCTGGTTGTACAAGAGCGGGTGCTGTGCTGGTGCCAACCACCTGCCGACCCCGGCGTAAGCTCACTCCTTGGCATCTGCGCCCGGTGGCGACGCAGGGGAGCCACGTTCATCAACAAGCAGCGCTGCCCTGCTGCGTGCACGCATTCATGCCCGCATGCTGACCGGCGGGAGCGCCGCCGCAGCGGCCCCGCACCCCGCGCACCTGTGACCCCGTCTGCCCCGATGCTGAAGGTGGCCTCCGCCTCGGGCATGGAGGGGGAGGCGATGACCTTGGCCACCCGCGTGTCGCCCCGCCCCTTGCGCAGCTGCAGCCGCGTGGTGGTGGCGTGCGCCATGATGTTGCCGCCCACCGCCTTGAGCTGCAGGCACGCGGGGCAGGCAGGGGCGGTGCAGGGGCGGTGCAGGGGACGGTTGGGGGCAGGCGGCGCGGCGCGGCATGGTGGCAGCGGCGCCCGGCTCAGGCCAGCGGCAGGAGCGCAATGCTGTGCCGTCGGTCATGCACCCCTGCCCAGCAGGCTGTCCCGTGCGCCAGCGGGCTGCCGCCGCCCCGCCCTCTCCCCCTCCACACACCTGCAGGTGCGGTGCCGAGAACATGGCCTGCCCTCCGTCCAGGTTGCCCTGCACCACCTGGTTGGTCACCAGCACCGCCACACCAAACTCATCCGCCAGGCGCTGCAGGCCGCGCAGGAAGCGGCCCAGCATGTTCTGGCGGGCAGCCAGCTCGCCGCGCCCCATGTACTCGCTCCTGCAGGCGCGGGGCCAGGGCGGCGGCGGGGAAGGGCAGACCCGCAGCGGCATGAGGGCAAGCATGCCTGCCTGCCATCCTCCCCACAGCAGCAGCCCCACAGCAGCGGCGAGGGGCAGGCATTCCTGGCGCGCCCCCCCCCATCTTCACCACCACCCCCCAACCGCACCTGAAGAGCGCGGTGGCGCTGTCCACGATGAGCACCGCGAAGCGCGAGTCGGCCATCATGGCGGCCGCCTGTATGAGCAGCTGCTGCTGGTGCTCCGTGTTGTGCGCCCGCGCGTATGCCACGTTGTCCAGCACATCCTGCGGGCTCAGCCCGTACCTGCGGCCAGGCGCAGGCGCGGCGGCGTGGGGCAAGGCTGGGCGGGGCAGCGCAGGTGCAGCAGGCGCCGCAGGCCAGTGCCTGCCGGCCGGCCAGCCACCGCACCTCTCTGCTATCTGCACCAGGCGCTGCGGCCGGAAGGTGCCCTCTGTGTCGATGTACAGCGCCTTGCCCTCGCCGCCGCCCATGTCCACAGGCAGCTGGCACGTCACGCATAGCGTGTGGCAGATCTGCGGGAGGAGGAGGGGCGCGGGCAGCACACGCAGGGTTGGGGCAGCAGCAAGCGGCAGGGACGCCAGGCTGCACGCCTGCTGTGCAGTGCAGCCATGAGTACGATGCGCCTGCCCGCCACCCAGACGCGGCGTCATGGCGCCCTTGTCGTGCCGCCACAGCGCTGCAGCCGCAGCTGTCATTAACAAGTTCTGCGGCCCCTCGCTGTCCTGCATGAGCAGCCAGCTGCCGGGCGCACTGGGTCTTGCCGCAGCGGTACTCCCCGTACACTCCGTGATGGAACCCGTCTCCAGCCCTCCCCCCAGAATGTCGTTGAGCGCCTGGCACCCGGTGCTGACCTGCACCAGGTCGTTCCGCTGCTCGTAGATCTGCTGCGCCGTGGTGAAGCCGGTGGGGATGACCCTGTGCGCTGCAAGGGAGAGGCAGGCAGGGCGTGGTGGCAATGCTGCAGCGAGCGGCGCCCAGCACCCAGCTCGCAGCGGCACCCACCATACTCCTTGAGCTTCACCACCTTCTGCTCGCTGATGCCCTTGATGGCCCCCAGCTCCTTGGAGGTGGCATACATGAGGCCCTCCACCGTGGCGATGCCTGCGGCACGCGGCAGCACACGGGGGTGCTCGGTCAGCAGCAGCGGGCGGCGGGCCGGCCCGGCGCTGCGTCGGCAGCCTGCCGGCCTGCCCCACCTCACCTCCCTCCTTGAGCTTTTTGATGTCCGCCGCTTGCACGCCCAGCTCCTGCGCCAGGGGCACCAGCAGGCAGCGTCAGGTGCCCGCAGCCCGCGCAGCACGCTCAAACAGGGGCCCCGCCGGTAGGCCACCTACTCACCATCAGCGTCTCGACCGGGCGGGGCATCACCAGGTCCGCTCCCCCCTCCTCCTCCACAAACTCCGCCTGCTGCTGCTGCTCCATGACCTGCGCCATTGTATCCGGCTCCTGGAGGAGCAGTGACGGTGCTGAGCAAAAGAGAAACGAAGAAGAGGCAGGAATGGCGCAACAATGGGCCGCCCTGCTGCGAGTGCTGCGCCAGGGAGCTCCTCAAAGTGCATATGCCGTGGCCCACAACTCGTGATAAACCTGTCCAGGGCCCCTGGGTACGCCCTCCAGGGGCGCTGGGCGCTGCATGGGGAAGCCCAGCAGAGCGCGTGCGCACCGGCTGCACGCTGTGCTGGTATGGGTGCTGCGGCACTTGGCCGGGCTCAAGGGCATCAGTGCCAGGGTCAGGAGGCTGCGCACGCTGGCTGCGACCGCAACCCCGCCTGCCCTCGCCTCGGCACCGCCGCCGCCCGGTAGCCCAACAGTCCAGGCGGCAAGCAGTCCAGGCGCAAGCAAGCCACCGCCAGCTTTGCCACACGAGGCGCCGTCGGCCTACCACGCAGCAGCCGGGGCGGCCATGTTTGGCGCCCTGCTCTTCCTGGCCGGCGCGCGCCCCGCGGCGCTGCCCGCCGTCTTCCTGCTGTTTGCAGCCACCGCGCTGCCCTGGCGCGTCTACCACTACACCCGCGTGCAGCCCCGCAACCGCGTGTACCTGCTGGACTTCTGCTACGCCGTGGCAGCCGCCACCGCCGCCTTCCTCTGCCTGCCGGCACGGCTGCAGCACCCGGGGCTGGAGGCGGCGGTGTATGCGCTGGCGGATGGGCCCGTCAGCGCCGCGCTGGTGGCCTGGCAGTGCGCCTGGGTGTTCCACTCCCCCGATCACACCGTCAGGTGGGGCGCAGGCCTTCAAAGCAGGAGCAGCGCAGAGGCCTGGCACCTGCTGCACGTGCGGTGTCCGCCCCAACGCTCCTTGCCCTCGTGTGTCCATCCCAGCCCTCTCCCGCTGCCTCCCCGCCTTCCCCTGGTTGCAGCGTGCTGCTCCACCTCCTGCCCGGCCTGGCCATGGCGGCGCACCACCACCTGCCGCTTCACCCCACGGCGGCGGCGGCGGCGGCGGTGTCGGGCGCCCGTGACAGCGCGCTGTGGCTGCTGGGCTCGCCGCTGGCCTTCTACCTGACCTGGCAGCTGCTGTATTTTGCCGCGGTACAGGTCCTGGGCCGGCGGTACGTGCGGGACAACAACCTGGACACCAGCTACCGCTGCCTCACCAGGCGGGCCCGCCGCACGGGCAACATCTGGGCCAGGCTGGTACTGCGAGGCAGCACCGCGCGGCGCCTGGCCGTCTACGGCCTGATCCAGCTGGCTTTCACAGGCACGTGTGGCTGCACGCTGTGGGCTCGGCCAGCTGCCCAAGGGCATTCCTCAGTGCTGCCTGCTGCCTGCTGCCCCTGGCGCGGCAAGCGCGCTGACCGGCGGCAGCGCTGTGTGTGCGTGCAGTGGGGACGCTGCTCCTCTTCGTGCCCACCTACAGCCACCGCTCCCTGGCCTGCGCCTGGCAGGCAGTCAAGGTCCTGGTGCCTGGTGAGCAGGCGCTGCGGCTCGAGCACCCCGACCTGCTGCCGCGGGCGGGCACACTGCTGCCCGGCGCTGCTGCTGCGCCCATGCACGGGCTACCTGCTCGCCG